TTGGTATAGAACCTAATATTTGACTTAATGGAAGGTTGAACTTAGCCTAACAAACAACTAACTCTGTATAATGTACAAGGACACTTCCTACACTAAGAAAAGTGCAGGTGTTTGCCAAGTCTCCCATCAGAGTCTTTCCACTGATGGTTTGTGTACAGACTAGGGGCCACTCAAATTTTTCAATGTTTTTTAAATTTTGATTTTTTTTTCATATTTTTTTGATCCACCCGCCCACCCCCAATTTTGTTTTAAAAAAATTGAATTTTCATCCAGTACGCGTACATTATACATGCATCTGACATAAATTCATATTCAAGTAAAAATCAATAATGCAACACAGTGTGACAAGATGATGGCTGGAATTGCAATAAATGATCTTGATCGATCGCGCACGCAACAGCATGCCATGTCCAATCCACTCAAAAATGGATCTCCCGAGGTACCGCTACGCCTACAGTCAATTACTGCGTCTCCACGCACATGCATATGTATTTCTATCGAAATGGAGACATAGACCTAGCTCTAGCCAACAGATTTGGATGCAGTTTGCTGCTGTCTGGTTAGTCTTAGATTCAAGGTGATGAACATTTACTGTTATTAGCAACTGGTGTTCAGTGTTCACTGTGTATACCAGTTGGTTTTTATAATACGTCTGGTACCTGCTACATTTGTGGTTGATCACCGCTGCAAGCGCCTGGCTGCCAAGTCTAACAGTAAAAACCACCTCCTTCCATGATGTTTTACACTTGCATAATAATGTAATGGAAAGGTCAACCTGTCTGTATATGGAAACGAAGGTGAAAAAGATCGCATTTTTTGAATGCTGGTGTGGCTGAGCTATATATGTGTGGCATGCACGCTACACGTATTTCAGGCAAGTCAGGAAAATAATTTTTTCTGGATTATAAAAAGTAAATTTCGTTTTTTCATTTATTTCCTTGACCCACCCAGTATTAAAAAAAATCAAAATTTAAAAACACTGAAAATTTTGAGTGGCCCCTTAGGAAGACCAGTATCCATTGAAGAAAATTCACCTGGAGNTGGGATAGAACCTAGTATTTGACTTTATGGAAGGTTGAACCTAGCCTAACAAACAACTAACTCTGTATAATGTACAAGGACACTTCCTACACTAAGAAAAGTTCACTTGTTTGCCAAGTCTCCCATCAGAGTCTTTCCACTGATGGTTTGTGTACAGACTAGGGGCCACTCAAAATTTTCAATGTTTTTTAAATTTTGATTTTTTTTCATATTTTTTTGGTCCACCCACCCCCAATTTTGTTTTAAAAAATTGAATTTTCATCCAATACGTGTACATTATACATGCATTTGACATAAATTCATATTCAAGTAAAAATCTATAATGCAACACAGTGTGACAAGATGATGGCTGGAATTGCAATAAATGATCTTGATCGATCGCGCACGCAACAGCATGCCATGTCCAATCCGCTCAAAAATGGATCTCCCGAGGTACCGCTACGCCTACAGTCAATTACAGCGTGTCCACGCACATGCATATGTATTTCTATCGAAATGGAGACGTAGACCTAGCTCTAGCCAACAGATTTGGATGCAGTTTGCTGCTGTCTGGTTAGTCTTTGATTCAAGGTGATGAACATGTCACTGTTATTAGCAACTGGTGTTCAACATTCACTGTGCATACCAGAAGGTTTTTATAATACGTCTGGTACCTGCTACATTTGTGGTTGATCATCGCTGCAAGCGCTCGACTTCCAAGTCTAACAGTAAAAACCACCTCCTTCCATGATGTTTTACACTTGCATAATAATGTAATGGAAAGGTCAACCTGTCTGTATATGGAAATGAAGGTGAAAAGGATTGCATTTTTGGAATGCTGGTGTGGCTGAGCTACATGTATATACATGTATGTGTGGCGTGCACGCTACATGTATTTCAGGCAAGTCAGGAAAATAATTTTTTCTGGATTATAAAAAGTAAATTTCGTTTTTTCATTTATTTCCTTGACCCACCCAGTATTAAAAAAAAATCTAAATTTAAAAACACTGAAAATTTTGAGTGGCTCCTTAGGAAGACCAGTGTCCATTGAAGAAAATTCACCTGGAGAAGCATTCACCCTTGCTCACTTTTTAATTCACTCGTTTGTTTTTTACTGCCTGGTCTTGTCACAGGAGGAGTACTATCACCTCTTGGCTGAGAAGATCTACAAGATCCAGAAGGAGCTGCAGCAGAAACGACAGAAGAGGATGCAGGAGGTACTGATGCTGCCGCTGGAGGCATCCCCATTAATGCAGCAGCGCTGCTGCCCCAGCCTCAACCTCCCCACTAACTGCCCAGACCAGTATGTCCACTGGGAAAATGTAGCTTGTTCAACCGACGTATATCAGAATTATGCTGTACAGAACTACATGTATATGGTTTTGAAGGGTTATTGTGGTGTCAGTGTTGCTTTGGCTCAGCAATGAAAGGTGGACTAGTAGAATGGGGCATCATTTTGGCATAGTGACACTCTTGTCACCTTCCACTTCCGTGAATCCAGCCCAGGTTATCATGTGGATTTTTCAGTCTTTACTTAACTTTGTGGGTTTTTCTCTGTAATGTTCATGTGGAGTTTTTCCCTTCACTTCTAAAACTGAACACTATCCTCATATATTTGCAGTTGTAATTTGAAGTTGTAGATCGTCACATTTCTCAAGTGGTTACTGGCAGCCCTTTGAAAAACATCCTGGAGATTATATTGATACTATCAATAAATAAAGTGGGAGTTTTTATTGTTATTGTTGTTGAAATTACACAGGGAAATGGTATTGTTTATGGTAGCAGGGCCAGGTTTTCTTCAGTGTATTTCTAAATGTGGTCATAATACAGACTGATCATTTGTGGTTCACTCAAGGAAGCCTGTACACAGGTTAACATAAATTTGGTGTGTGATTTTTACTTACAGTTTTATTTCAATTCCAAGCATCTGTAACTTTTTAAGTTATCACTGAATAGTCAAGACCTTTTCTTTATTTGTAGTTTTCTGAAGGCTTTTATTTTACTTCATATTTGAAGAGTGATGTCACCCATAGATCATTGTGCAATTTTTATGACTGCAGATGAATTGACTCAGAGTGTGTACAAAATGCAGGTGTAAAACAAAAATTGTACGAAGTAAACAACAAATAAAAGTGTAATGCAAATGAAGATGTCAGTTGTACTCATAGTCAGTAAATGTAACTAACTCAAGCTTAAAATTGTATTTCTAATGGGAGCTTCACTCATTAGGTGCTTCTGGAAAATGTGTATCTCTTTTTTCCGCACGCAACTGTTCTTGCTTATTGTCTTGATCAGGACTTGAACAAAGCTTTTGCCACAAATAAATTACATTGCTAATTTGATAGACAAACTAACAGATATTTACATGTATGTAGATAGGGTCTGCTGCTTGCCAAAGAGAAAACAAATGAAATGGGAAGGGGGAGGTTCAACTCTTAAACTTGAAGGTCCCTTTTCCTTTACTGTCTGTATTTAAACAAGATATGTTCTTTTTTTTCTAAATTGGATGTAACCATGATCTGGCCATCTATATACACAGGTAGGCCTACATGCTAATGGTTTCAAACTTCAAGCAAACCTTGACTCGATCAACTCAACTGACATTTAAACATGTCAATGCTCTGTTTTGTTTTCAAGCACACACAAAGTCTGAGAAGTTCGTGGAGGTACACTGTGTGCTGAATTTGAACTTGGCAGCCGTGCATATATGACCCTGTTGTAGTATATACCACTCCATGGGCATGTCCCACATTGTTGAAAAGTATGAGGTTGTGGCAAGAAATGTGGGACAAATACTCTTCAAATGACTGGTGTAAATCACTATTTATGGTATTTGGCTGTGTTGGGGGCCATGTCTTACCTTTTTCAAGAGCTGAATTTTTTGGCCAAAAATTATACTC